AATAAACTTGTTAACTTTTCCCCTGAGTCCGTTGTGTTCTGCATCTTGGCCCTCTCAGTAAACCCATCATGACAATTCTCACTGCTTGAAATGAGAAGTATACTGTAGCCTAACCATGTTAGATCTGTTGCATGAATGGCAGAGAAAACTCAAATTCCCTTTCTACAGTCATCTAAACAGGGCAATCAAATTCCAGGTCCAGCATAGGTGACTTTAAAAAAAAAAAATCTTGGATAATCTTCTTTGGTGCCAATTAAGAATTTCTCAATGTTGGATTAAAAAGCAAAGTAACTTCAGTTACTGAGAATTGTACTGAGTAAAATATTACTGAAATTGCATTGGTAATGTTTAACATTACTGCATTACTGTAAAATAGCAATAAATTACTGTAGCCTAATTAGATTACTTTTTTACTGACTTACTCCCAACACTGATATTGTGTAGGCCACATGCAGTCAACAGTAGGTACATTTCTAAGAAAAAGTAAAACAGTCAACACTAGTATGAGCCAAAACTAGCCCACTACAAGTGGCAGAGAATGTCACCTGTGGTGCTGCATTATTACACATACTGACTATGAGATATAGGGTCCAATGTAGGCCACAGGCTAATTCAATTGTCTCACAAAAATCATAAAACATTTTTTAAAGGTGTGTATTAGCATTCTTTAGTGAGAATAGAAATAAGTGGTTGATCAATCGTGCTTCCGGGATGGATCGGGTAGTGACACCTGCCCCGGATTTAGGGGGAAGCAGTCTCAGCAGAGATGCCCTAAATTGCCTTTCCTACCTCTTTTATTTCATTTATTCTACATTTAAGATAAACATTAGATTCACAGTCTGAGGTGTAACGGAGATCTTAAGGCAGTAAGCTGTCTATTTGTGAGAAATAAATAGTAAATACCTGTAGGTGTTAATAAGCTACATAAACAGGGACCATAGTGTGGAGAGAATAATTGCATTTGTTGACCTCTGAGATAAATACATATAAAGCAACATAAGGCAACAATGTTTTAGTGGAAAAATCTTATATGAAGTGAAGGATAAATGCGGGAATGTGGTTTGAATGTTTTTTTTTTCTTTTAACAGCTGTCTCCAACTGACTCAGGCTATCTTATATCAAACAGTGTGATCAAAATTGCTCATTATTACCTTTTAAAGTGCCCCTTACAGTAGCAGCCATTCAAAAATGTCCATTCCCAGTCAAACGCCAGCCGAATCGCAGCCCTACAACTCCCAGCAAATTCCTCACCAGCTTCCAGCCACTAGCCTTCTCCTGGGCGTGCATATATTTACTCTGACTCCCCCCTTTCGCTGCATTACAGAGTCTGACCAGTATGATCTCTTTAGATCATAATATCCACAAATCATAACAGAAAGAATATTTTAGTAAAAGATTGATGTTTACAAAGGAATTGCAGGGAAACAGCCAAGGACCATCTAGGAAAGTGGGGAAATTTTGAATGGCTACTGCTGTAGATAGATGCTGTACCTCTAACTGTCCTTAAAGGAATAGTACACCCAAAACATGATTAGCCTTCATTTTCTACTCACCCCCATGCTGAACAACACTCTGGAGTACTTTTTTGATA